TCATGGTGGACATAGTACAGATAGTCTATTGTTTAGTTTTGTGCTTAACTACAAACAAACAAACAAAGAAGATCAAGAAGAACTTTACAGTAAATTAAAAGAAGACGAGAAAGAATTGTACATAAAATTAGAAGAGAGAAACAGAAATTTAAAGGAAGATCAAAATTAAAAAAGAAACATAAGATTTATAGAAGAGTTAAGCAAAAAGTAAGTTTAATTAAAGACAAGATTGAAGAAGCTATTGGAGATATGTAGAAGGATTATAACAGCAAAACCAAACTACAAAAGGACATCAATATTGGAGATATGTAGAAGGATTATAACAGCAAAACCAAAATACAAAAGGACATCAATATTGGAGATATGTAGAAGGATTATAACAGCAAAACCAAAATACAAAAGGACAGCAATATTGGAGATATGTAGAAGGATTATAACAACAAAACCAAAATACAAAAGGACATTGATGAAGTGTAGAAAGACTGTAACGAAAAAAACTGAGAAAGTATAAAAAACACACCAATGAGGCACAGAAAGTTATAAAAGGAAAACCAATGAGGTAGAAAATAACACCAATAATAGAATAAAACATATGAAAAATGAAATGGTAAATCCAAAAATCAAGCCAGCCAAATCTCTTTCTGCATCTTCCCAAGAATTACAACTTAAAATATTATATACTATAAAATATAAAATAGAAGAACTTATTCAGTCTACATCTGTTACCACTGCTACTGTTCCATCTGTGTCTCCTGTATCATATTGGAATATTTCGGCTATGTAACTACCTAATCCAGTTCCATTTCAACGGCATTGCCCAATAAAGAAACTAACTGATTATGACGTAAAAGTACTTAGGAAGCATATCAGGCTCAATTTGGAAATCTTTCCAAATTGATTAGGTGGAATATTGAAAAACAAGCTATTTATTTTGCTATCTATTTAAAAGGACCAGCTTTAACAACATTAAGTAACTTTCCAGCTCAGAGTCAAACAATCATCAAGCATTGATACCTAACTGCCTTATCCAACAGGGTCAGAATTATACTCCAGAAGGAAGTTTCCAGATCAGAGTTCAGGAGCAGAGTACAGAGGCCCTCGTCCATTATGGCATCTATGAATTGGTCATGTTTCAATGAAACCATCATTTCTTACATCTTCAGCGTGTTTGGCCAAGATATCTTCTTTTTTTATACGAATTAGGCTAAAGCAAAGTAGTGATACAAATTTAAAGGAAGCTCTGCAGTTGGCAATGGAATCTGAGTCCATTAAAGTTGCAGATAAAAAACTAAATACACCATCCAGAAGCTACAGAATCATATGATTGAAACATCAACTTTCTTTGAAGGATTATTTAGACTAGTTTTCCATAATGAAAGTAAACCACAAGCTAATAGGTGTTTAGAGTGTAAAGGACATATTGCCAGGAAGTGCAGAAAACATAGTCTGTAGGGAATTAAAACTCTTTCCCAGGAATATCAGAAAAAGGGAATTGTTATTAATCTTGGAATAAGAAACATGGCCATTACAGCTGGGAATGTAAATAATTAACAGGTGATAATAAACTAAGAAGACAATACTTTAAATATCAGTCCCAGAACCCATCCAGATCATAGGAACAACAAAAAGCTAGCCAAACATTGGAAAAAAGGAGTTAGTTGGACTTGAAGGGGTGAAGTTCAGTTGAGAATATACAATTAGCTCATTTAAGATAAGAAATTTATTAGTTAAAGAAACCCGTTCACTATTTACCAAATTCATTGATGGGTTACCTCACAATATACTGATTGACATTGGTTCTGCAACTGAAATTGTTTTCCCCAAACTGGTAAAAATTGGTGGGAAGTTGTTGCCAGAGGTAAAAAAAAAGAGATGTTTAGATGTGAATAGCAAGTAGAGATAAATTTCTAGCAAGGGGAAGGTTGGAAGTCACTTTTACTGTGAGAAACATTACTACACATCATGATGAGTGGGGAACTGACATCAAAGAAGAGGGCATACTGGGAATAGACTTCATACAAAAATATGGATGTAAGGTTAAACTTTCTTCAAAACTGGAAATCCTTGCACATTACATAACAATTACAACACCAAGATTTAATTTCCAGTGAAAAAAAGAAGGGCAGTTACTGCATCACCAAGAGTTGAAATACTCAGACCAGGACTTATTAGAAATGAATTTAGTTTTAGTAACTGGAACATAGTAGAATCAATCACGTCAGTTTGACTTGAAGGATTATTAGTTGGAACAAATATCATGGGTCTAAAGAAAAAGATGTTATCATTAGGACCATGACCACAACAAACCATGAAATTTAAATCAAATCTGAATTGGACATTGCAAGATGTGAAGCTATGCATGTAGTACATCCACATTAAAGAACATTGGAAGTGGTCACATTCGAGACAAGATGTAGGGTCTAATATTAAACCTTCACATAATGATAGTTTACCACCTCACATACAAGAGCTGTGGAGCTCTTATAGCCAATCACTGCTACATGACTACATGACTTACTCATGGAATATCGAGATACTTTCTTCAGTGGACCTCATGACTTAGATGAGACAAATAAAATATCTCATAAATATCTGCTGGAGATGTAGCCCTAATATTTCAGTTAGCCAAACAAAATTGAATGAGGTTATCAAAGATATAGAAACCATGAAAGAACAATAAAAGCAGAATCGAGTATTAGTCCTTTGGTATCACCTAGATTTGATTTCTAATTTCATTTATGTGTTTAGTCCAATTTAGTCGTAGGTTAGACCCGGGAATTTGACTGATGTGGCTACCTAGAGAAGAGTGCTGTAAAGGTCTGATTTTGAGAGCTATTTGCTTTTTTTTTTTTGATTTTGTGAAGAATATGATTTAATGTTTAGGGACATTTTTCTTGATTCTCCATTTGTTACAGTAATTTACTCTTTCATTTAACCGTGGTTGTAGATTTGTTGCTGCTATAGTTGGAGAGTAGGAGGGCTATCTGCGCCAGCCGTCCCTAGTTTAACAGTGATAGTTAACACCACCCACCGCCAATTCGTTGGCTACTCTTTTATCAACGAACAGTAGGATTGACTGTCACATTATGATACCCCCACGGCTGAAAGAGCGAGCATGTTCGGTGATGGGGATTCGTTAAAGAGATGAGATTTATAGTTTAGAATGACTAAACTGAACATAATTATCTAAGCAACGACTGGAATAGCTTCAATGTATCTGAGGTAATTATTTCTAACATAAAACATTACCAGCAAGAAAGCGTAATAATAACAAAAAGAAGATCCTGCTAAAAACATTAAAAACAACTAAAAAATATTACTTTGCTTAATTTATTTTAGAGCAAAGATACGCAATGGGCAATCTACGCTATGTCCGCCGCGCAGTTTGAACCCCGAATTTTAGCGTTATAAGCCTTCAAGCTTACTGCTGAGTCACCGGGGGACAAAACGAAAATTGGTTTTGTACCTATGCAAAACAATTGTGTATCCTGAAGGTTGAATAGGTAAGTCAGAGCAAGCAACTTAAAGAAATGAATTCACAAATCATTAGCCAATCTACTAGATGAGTTTATCCAATAATACTTGCAAACGAACTGTTCGCCTCGAAACTCCTGATTTGTGGTTCATATATATTGTCATATAACTGAGTTATTATGTTTATACAAATTACTATACATGCAAAATATCTTAAGTGAAAACCTTGTTTTTAAAAGACCTTAAGTGAAAAAGTTGTTTTCAAAAGTAATAGACAATTCATTTCATTATTTACTCATGTGAATTTACTATTTATTTTCCTTTCTTTGTTTTTTAGAATTATATAACTCACACAATATTTGACATATTTCCGTGAATACTTAATACAAGTTGTCTGTTTCTTTACTTTTCTCGCCGGTGGCTCAGTTGTAATCTTTAAAACTTATAACGCTAAATTTTCCGGGTTCGATCCCTGCGTTAGGCACAGAAAAACATATTACATTGTTCAAGCTTGGCGCCTCAAAACAGACTCTTACATTAGCAATATTCTTGTGGAGATTTCATAATTTTTCTTTGCTACAAAATGAATACAAATGTGAACTACACATAGATAAATATGAGCTTGTCCATGGATGTTTACACATGCTTGATCTAACGTATGCGTTAATAACTACGTCACTCGAGCAGTAAAAAAAGCTTGAAATCAAATTATTGAAATAATCTTGTCTTTGTTTAAAATAATGCATAAGTTTTTATTCAGAAAAATCTATACATATCCTTGGCTTCTCTCGGCCAGGGTTTTACCATACTTCTTACATCTTCTGCTAGTTACCACTGTTTCCATTTATAAGTAGGTAACGTAGTGTTCATTATTCATGTTTAATCTGTATGATGCCAAATTCTGCTCTTTTGTCGTGTTACTTATTCATTAAGTAAGTGGGCGTGGCTTGAGTTCTATTGCTCTTTTAAAATTAATTAACTAATACAAGTTTTGAAAAAAATTCTCGAATAACACTTTTTGCCATTGAAAAGATTTTTTTTTTCTAATACATGAGGGTTTAACGTGTCTTAATGGTTAGCATGCCGGATCCAAGGTTCGAGGCGTGTGCTACCGCACCCGCTCCACACTTTCAGCCATGGGCATATAAATTAACAGTCAATCCCATTATTTGGTTGAAAAAGACAGATAAATCACTTGTGGAGGCGCATGTTAAGGTTTAAGGTGTAAGGTTATTAGGAATCCCATACAAAAAGTATAATTTACATATAAAAATGTCTAATCCACACAAAACGTCAATCCACTCAAAAATTATCATTTAGTAGTTGAAATTACATACAAGTTGGGTTTTCACAAAAATGAATAACTTGTTATTCGATCAAAAACGCTTCAATTTCCTTAAGAAGACGAAATTATCCAATAACCTTACGATAAACGTATCTTCCAATCATGGCACGTCATTGTCGTTGTCATTTCCTTTCTGTCAGCTGTTGAACGCCGAGGGTTTGGTTAGTGTAGGCCTGTCACAGTCGCAGAAAAGCTGAGTGCTAGAGTTTACTGCACTATCACGCGCCGAGTAACTGGTGCAGACGACGGCTCGTGCAGGTAAATTTTGTAAACTGGTAAGCGGTTTCCATGGGGAAGAAAAACAGTAAACTGAAGAATGAAGCTATTTCAAAACTTGTGGAAGAAACATACTGTAAGTTGACATTTTGTTGTGAGTAAATTCTTCTATATCCTAAATTAAACTTGGAAAATATATGTAATATTTTAATTCTTTTGTGATACATTTTTCTAATAACTCACTCTCAATTTCGTGATTTTTATAATAAACTATTCGAAACTAGGTTTATGTAGCCTTTATTGGAAGAGTACTTTTAACCATTTGTTAGCTAAATAATAAAATAATAGGGGGTGTTAGTTTGAGAATGTGGATAACTCATAACAACCCGAATAATTACCTCCAACCGGTGGCTCACCAACAAGTCTGAGGGCTCATAGCTATAACGCTAAAAATCTGGTTCCTGTGCTCGTGGTGGACAGAGCACGGATGACCCGTTGTATAGCTTTGTAGTTAATACCAAACGAGAGCATCAGAAAGATTACATACCCTCGCCCCACCCCTCCTTTTCGATATTGCATGCATTTATATTGGATAATGTCCAATTTCACCTTCGAAAACTGAGAAAATCCTTCTCAGATCCTGAATGATCAACGATCCCAATCATTTTTTATACTGTGATGAGGAGTCTCAACCTTAATATGCCCATACAATTTGGTACAAATCCCATCACACTTTACACAGTTACTAACCCCAAACCGCGAAAATACCCTATCTCCCCATTATAAAAAATGCTTCAAAATATCCAGATCCGGATTTGGATGAAGACAAAATTTGGGGAAGACTGTCCCATACTGACTTCCCACCTTGTTTGAAATTTTCCTGTACACTGATTTATTAGTTTTAGAGATAAGCGCGCGGAAGCACATACATACATACAGACAGACACACACACACACACACACACACGCGGACCCGATTGCAATACCTCCTCCAGTGGCGAGGGTAACAAACAAACAAAATAACCCTAATATATCTTTCGCCTTAAAAATTAAATACAAATAAAAAGTATTGTATATGTTTTTGTTTAGTAAAATATTATCACGTTTTATAAGCCTATTTTTCTTCACAGGGATCACAGTTTCTTTTTTTTAACACAGAGCGTTGAGAACGGTATATTAAAACGATTTTGAATATGTAGTTGTACAAGTCACATGAAAACTACTTGTAAACAAGTCGCTTCCATGACATATACTGGAAAGAAAACCTAACTGTAAAGAAAATGTATGGACGGTATCTATTCGGGGAAAATGGCAGTATGTGGTGACATTCTACGAAATGTATGAGAAAAAAATTCCAAAAGCTGTGCACAGCTTCTTATGAAACTTTTCCAAAAGATGCACGTTCATTTTTGGATACTGCACCAGGGGCAAGTTAGGGATCAGGAGAGTGGATACAAAGGTCATGATGAACTCTCCTTACTATCAGACCAATATTCTGTACCATAAAGAAATACTAGCTTTGTATGGAAACGAGGCCAACATGGTATGCCAACATGTACCTCACGTTACAGATAATTAAATGGGTATTCATGTTATTCCATACAAGACATAACAATTAAGTAGTTGGACGCAGCGACTATCGATTGCTGTGCGATCAGACTGTTGAAACTAGCAGTGGGAAACGATCGTTCGTCGTCGTACACTAGATTATGGAAAGCTAGTAGGTATGAGTGGCATGATTTGCACATGAAAGCCTTTCGACGGAGCCATTTGCAATAGCAACTACACTGGACGATTGTCAGCTAGAGCATGTCTGGACGAAGCGACTGCGATGACGTAGTCAGACTTCAAAATCATTTTAATATAATGTACTCAACTGTCCTTATCTCAAGATTAACAAAGTCGAAGTCTACTGTTTCAATTTTATTCCTTCTCAGTATGATGCTTATTGTTAATTTTGAACATAAATATTGATCACTGTAATGGATCTTTGTTGCCTGCTAATTTTGGATAAGCAATTCTTATAAACCCTTTATGCTTAGAATTAGATGCAGACTGAATACAAGCGTTGAATTCAGCTTGCATTTTTGTTATAAAGTCCCTTAATTCTGTTTATCATCATTCAAAGCAATGTAATGCTTTATAATGTTTCTTAGTTTCTGAAGAACTGAAGTTATTTTTCCTGTAAGTTTCTCCTTTCAAAAAAAGGCCCCCCAGTGGCACAGCGGTATGTCTGCGGACTTACAACGCTAGAATCGGGGTTTCGATACCCGTGGTGGGCAGAGTACAGATAACCTTTTGTGTAGCTTTATGCTTAACTTCAATCAAAAGAAATAAATAACAAATACTAAGTTGACAAAGAATGAATAACAAAAATAACCCTTGTAAGACAGAACACAAAAAAAAGATTTTTAAAAAAGTTATAAGTTAACTATTTATTTTTGAAATAAATATATGTTGACGAAAATTACTCTTTTTTTTTTAACTGAAGTAAATCGACACGGGTTGTAAATGGTAGACATCGCCAGGGGCAACCTAGGTTTTTACATATTTCTTTGGTATAACTGGTTTCTTCTTCAGCCATTACATGTTGAGGGCTGAAGCATCTACCTTTCGTTTCTATTACGTTGATAAAATACTTGATTGTGAATGGTATAAGTCAAGTGGAAAGCATAACGGCGAAAAGAGCAACAAAAAAGCTTTTAAAAAAGCATATTTATGAAATAGAAATTGATAGAAGCATTTTATTTATTTGATTTTCGTTCTTCGCTGAGTGAGCGGTAAGTTTACTGAATTTCAACGCTAAAATCCTGGATTCGATTCGCCATGGTGGGTGAACAGAGCGCGTGCAAATAGCCTAGCACAAAAAAAAGAGAATATTTTCTCCTCCGAATGATATATCCCTTTATATTGTGAATAAATTATCTTCATGTAACGTTTACGGAAGCTTTAAAACATTTTTTTCTCAAGCATGAAAATAGCTTCGACTTGACTTTTATACATAATCTACCTATAGTTTGCTCGTATTTAATAATTAAGTAGATGTGCAGTTTGACTAAATTTTTGAACGTCAAACTGCATACCCAGATCTCCCTTGGTGAAAGCCTGACAGATCCGGTGAAAGTCTACAAGTAAAAGTGAACTCTCAGTCCATAATGGGCTCTCTTTTTGAAGCTCTTGTAATTCACCTTGAATGTCTTACCTTCAAGGTTTTGCAGGTTATTTTTTCCACCGTCTTTTTTTTTTCTTGAAACGCAGAAAGCTCGCAGAAATTTGCTAAAAGTAAGCAAAATCTTTGCAAGGATTTTCAGTAGTGTTCATTCTCCAAGAACAATGTTGTAAGACAAGGGAAGTGGATCGGAAGTGAGGAGGTGTAGCAGTCGAGTCGAGAAACTTGGCAGAAATGGCAAAGAAATTACGTCACTTCTTGTTCAAAGCAGCCCATTTCACAGTAGAGATGTGGTCGAGATTTCTACTGTCTGACTTTGGTACATTTAATGCATTAAATTCAATAATAATGGAAAGCTATATTCTACATCAAGAAGTATGAAATATTCTAAAAAAAAATAATTATGAAATACTTCTTTATTTCAGGCTTAAGCGTTTATTGTAACCTCAGTATAAACTGGAAGTTAAATGGTATGAATTAGAAAAGAGCGGGAAAGTTAAATAGCAGCAATATCTTTATTCTCCGTATTGTAGCTGGATATTTTATTACTGTATATTTTGGTTATTATGGGAAACAAGACAAAATGCTGAAAATTATATTTACTATCTTTGGCTTATATAATTTTGTTGTGGTGTGAGTTTCGTTGAAACCCAACTATTTACAATAGCTACTGCAGTAATGATATAAGGGTTATTCTATAAAATGTTTTTATTTTTTCATATATACGAACGTTTAATATGAGTTTGGTCTGCTTGTGGATTACTAAGTTAGCATGCCAAGTTTGGTTTGGATCGGTCAAACTGTTTAGGAGGAGATGCGTCCACAAACAGACAAAACGTTTTCCTTGATATTGGATACTTACCGCACCGGTATGGCTTAATATGGATAGCGCATATGTGAAGAACGCCTGCACCGCGATTTTTATACTCAGCTCTGCCTCTCTATAATTAAACTACTATGCATTTAAAAATCTCCAATGTAACATGTTCTGGAATGGTAAGGTTCTCTCGGACCTCTTCCTCTCATAAATTAGTTTGATTTGTTTTGAATTTCGCGCAAAGCTGCTCGAGGTCTATCTATACTAGCCGTCCCTAATTTTCTGATTCACACCATTTAATTCCCAGTTTATACTAGGGTTAGAATTAGCACTTAAGCCTGAATTATAGAAGTATTTCAGAATCAAAATATATTTAGAATATTTCTTACTCATTGATGTAGAATATAGTTTTCTGTAGAAGCAAAGTGCAAGATTATTATTAAATGAAATGCATTAAATGTACCAAACTCAGACAGTAGAAATCTCGACCACATCTCTACTGTGAAATGAGCTGCTTTGAACAAGAAGTGACGTAACTGCTTTGCTATTTCTGCCAAGCTTGACTCGACTGCTAAAACTACTCACTTCCGATCCATTTCCCTTCTATTACAACAATTATTTTGGCGAATCTCGCAGAAATTTTGCTCGTTTTTAGAAAATTTCTGCGCGTTTTCTGCGTTTTTAAAAGAAAAAAGACGGAGGAGTGCAGTTTCCTTAAAATATTCTGTAAAACTTTTAAGGTAAGACACTTAACGAAAGTACATTACAAGAGCTTAAAAATAAAAGTCCATTATGGACTGAGAGTTAACTGTTACTTGTAGATTTTCACAGGATCTGTCGGGCTTGGTTCGGCATGGCCAGGTGGTTAGGGCGCTCGACTCGCAATTTGTGGGTCGCGATTTCGAATCCCCGTCACATCAAACATGCTCATCCTGTCAGCCGTGGGGGCGTTATAATGAGACGGTCAATCTCACTATTCGTTGGTAAAAGAGTAGCTCAAGAGTTGG